GGGGGGGGAGTTAAAACTAAAATTAAAAAAGGTAACTTCCCTATCCCCCACCCTCCCCATAATATGGGAACAGAGCAGAATGAGTGCGCACCTCAGTAGTGTTCCAAAATCCCTGGAATTCAAAGGTTTTGTAACCATCTAAAATTAAGCACTACAGTCTGTCCTTAAATGAAGGATGTACTTTCAAATTTAAGATTCCATTTTAGTGTAGCTTTGTCTTGGCATTTAGAAGCCAAGTTCTCTTCAAGTTACAAGCAAGAGCCCATAGAGAATGCTGCTGCTTCCAAGCTTGGGCAACAAGTTGGCATTTCCCCTCCTTTTACAGAAAGATTTATTACTAGGTCAGAGGAGCAGGAGGGCAGTGGAGATTTGCAGACCTCTTACAGCAAAGCCAGAAGCAGGGTTGCAAGTCTTGCTCCAACACAACCTATTAAAAGCTAGCAAGCCCGGCATGCAAAGGGCAGCTGACCTTCTTTATCAGCAGCTCTAGACTGTAAAGGCTCCTTCCATGCTCTTAAGTCAGTTCCCTTGCAGTGCTTCCTTTGGGCACAGCAGAACAAAGAGAGGGAGCAGAGCCATGAGAAGCCCCTCAGGTATCAACACCCAAGCAATTATGGGGCCATGGGATGTTCAAGAACAACCAACCCATCATCTACCAGTGACTAGCTCCCTCAATCCAAGTCACTTCTCCCCACAAGCCACTGGCTTCCAGGGAAAAACAAAAATAAATAAAAAACACTACTGCATGCAGTGTCACACTTCCATAGGAAGTCTATACTAACCAACTCATGTGGGGCCCACATGACATGCATCTGGTACCAGTTTTAGCCTACATGTAGCTGAAATGTTGTAGATAAAATGTTAGTGAGAAGCTACAGGGAAAGTTTGAAGAGCATCATTCAAGATGAACCTAAACTCCTGAAGTACCAAGTTCAACTGAAAATGGATTTAAGACAAAAAAATCCCTCTGAACACAAAAAATAAATGGATTTTTGTTTGGGCAGAACACTTCAGTCAACAGGAGAAGTCCTCCTTTCAGTGTGGAAGAAGGAGCAGCCTTCACTGTGGAGCTGGAAGATAAACCTCTTATGCAGACGTTCCAGATCAGACATACACCTACAGAAGCTGGGTTCTGCTGGACTAAGCCCTGTGCCCAAATCAGCTAAGTTCCAAGTAGTCTTTCCCCAGCTGTCTGCAATGCAGGCCAGACCTACAGTGCCAGAAGTTAGTAGACATTTACTGCACCCTGAGCAGGGGACCTCAGGTCATCCATTTACTAAGCAGCTGGCACTTTGGGGTGGGGGCTCCCTCCAGGACCCATGGAAGAAACTCCAGACTGCTGTTTATTTACAGCAGGAAATATACTTTGCTCTGGAGACAGTTCAAGGTGCAAGACAGCACAGGTTTCACCATGGGTCAAACCAGTCATGCAGAGATCCAAGTGAACAAGCTGCACTCAGAGTTAGTGTCTCCAAAAGGGAGTGAGGTGGCAGCTTCCCCCAGGAGCAGAGAGGCTCAGCATGACTCACCTGAGCATGAAGGGCAGCAGCAGCAGCGGCAGCAGCTGGGTATGTGAAGGCAGCATGGGGGATGGCAGGGGTTAGTTCTGTGGTGTACAGTGGATAGGGAGCCCATGCCTCTGGAGATGCTGGGATCAGAGCTGCTCCAGTCAGGTCATCTAACAAAAATATATAAAAAGAAACATTTCAGCTGTCCTGTCCAATGGCCAAAGCCAAGCCAGCCAGGACACTGACGCTGAGCTTTGGACTCCACGTTGCTTGGATTTCCGGGCTTCTCAAAAGAGAAATAGGCACAGCCTCAGATGTCGGGACCTGTAGTGCAATTGCTCTGCTGGCCTCCCTTTTCCACCCACTCTGAATAACCAACTCCTGCCCAGAGTCGGTGCAGGCCTCCATCCCAAGGCACTGCAAGTGAAGGAACTTAGGAAGGCATCCACCTCTGCCTCCATTTCAGTGTTCTCCTAGCAGCTAGGCAACACAGACATGCCCAAGGGCAGGCTTGTCCTAGGCCAGGACTTTGCCTGGACTCTAGGGGAACAGGCAATCTCCAATGCAGTGGCAATAAGTCTAGTGGCTTTGGGGCCTCTCTGGAGCGCTTTCTGGGATGGGGAAGGTTGAGGGAAGGGGAGCCAGCCTGAGCAAGGACTCCTCAACAGCTACTTACAAGGGTCCCGTGCGATGAAGTGCGCGCCCAGGGCAGGGTGGATGTTGGTGGGATTTGGTGTGGCCATCAGCTTGCTCTTTGCCATCTTAGTGTTGGCTTTAGCAAACTCTAACCGCAAGGTCTGGGGGTTCTCTGGGTCGAAGCGGATACCCTGCAGAAGAACAAGGCGTCTCACAATGAAATCAATCATCGCTATCCATTTTCTGAATTCTGGTATACATCTGTGCTTATTCATACCACGCCCCCCCCAATAATATCAAGTCCCATTCTGCTGTGGTCTGTAGGGACACACCAAGTGTACTGGCTGTCTCACTTCTGAGGAAACACTAGAGCAAATGCAGATCTCAGGCCTCCAACATGCCTGCAGGACACCCAGCCTCAACACTGGAAAGTTTGCACCTTCCTCAGACAGCTAAATAGCTAAAATGTTAAACAGCACAGAGTTGGAAGCAAGCCAAGCTCAGTTTTATCTCTGGAGCAGTGGGCATATGTAAGTGGCCTTTAGCTTGGCATAAGGCTATGCT